AGGGCATTTTAAAAAGTGATAACACGTAGATAGCAAAAAGGTTGACTCACGAAATGTGCCGCCAAAAGCAATCTTATACCGGATGTCTATATCTGTTGAGTCAGATTTTATTTTTCCATCAATGGCTTCAGATAAAAGTGTTTCAACATGTTACGTCTCACTTTCAGATGGTGTTGTGTTGGTTTTATTATTTTTTTGTTGCACTTCTACACTACAAATTTTGATCTTAAAGAAATTTCAGGTTGAATATTCCCCTTTTGTTGCCCAGTTTGAATGCTGTTCTAAATTACCATTGCATTAATGCAGTGCTTTGTACACTGCTATCAAGGGAGCAAGATGTTCTTTGCAGTGCTATCAATTGATGAAATCAAAATAATCCAGCAAAACTGTTTCAAAACAGCAGTTGTCAAGCAGTCCAGCAAGCCTTGCTTAGTGCTGATTACACTTTGCATACTGAAAGGAGCCAGTGTCCTTGCTTGAAATCAATGGGAGGGATGTGGGTTACAAGTAGTAGATGTCTGCCGCTGAACATTTTGTACTTGCACTTTAAAATAGAAATAGTGTCATTCTGAACAAGATTCCCTCCTTAAGTCCCTCTCCCTTTATCTGATATTGGCGTTGCTTTTCACCATGCCTTTCCAAGCTGTCAGGCCGCGTCCTCTTTCCGGGAAGTGGAGGGAGCAGCTCTGACAATACGAGGCTCGAACCACCCGAGACATGGAGGTCAGTCAGGGACACAAGTGCTCCAGACACTCCGAGTAGGCTGGTCATATTCCAGGTGAACAGGAAGAGATGGAGGGTATCTGTGTGCATTATGTTTATGCCTGTGTGTGAGAGTGCGGGGGATGGGAAGTTGCCTTGAGGGAAATGGCATTACATCGTGTCCACACTGCATATCTACTTGTCAACCTGCGGAGGCCAAGGAGCACTCAGATAGCCTATGGAGGTTGGCCAGTACGCCCACGTTGGCAGATGCCAGACACACGTGCATGAATACACACACAGCTTGAAAAAGACATCCCTCAGTGGATGCATGCTTTGCTGCACCAAGGCTTACAAATATGCCATAAATGATTCACATACCTGTCACACACCCACATTGAGAGTATGGAATCTTGTTCTTAAAATACCAACACATTAAAGGTTACAAATAACCTAAAATAATACACACACATAAAGAACATCTAAGCGCACTGGAAGTAAACTGAGTTAAAGCAAACACTTTTACCTTGTTGGTGAGTAGCTGACACACTTGAGGGACGTAATCAATTAGGCATCCTCCACTGGGAAATGCTGGGATATGAAGTGCCGAGGAGCCTCCCAGAGCACTGATTGGATAAAAAAAGGACAACAGTTAGCCTGGAGATGCTCTATATTACTGTATTTCTTATATCACATTAGTTTATGCTACATTAATGTATGGCCTACTGAGTGATTTTAAACATAGCTCAACTTGAGGCAGATTACTCCATATTTCCTTGTAGCTCAGACCAATCCATGGTCCGGGGACCAATGCAGGACTTCATGTGACTGCTTGGCTTTACAGAGGTTAATTTTAACTACAGAGCAAACCAAAACCAATACGAAGCACCTCAACATTTACGACAATGTACCTGAATTGTGGAATGTAAAAAAAAAAAAAAGACTGAGTCACGCCCGTGGCATCCTCCTCATTCTCCTTCACTTGTTCAATTATTATTTTGACGTCCTACTGATTTAATCCTGCAGCACAGCTCCATTAGTGATTAGTACATGCTTGTTTAATCAGGAAATCTGCTGCTGCAGCTCTCCAGTGACTAACCGACCGGAGTAGTCACTCCCTCATTTTTTTCCTGATCTGGGGCAAAAACAGAGGGAATACCCTGAGGATGGGTTAAAGGTCTTAAGAAACTGCTTATTGGCTTTTAATGCTCATTTTAAGACACATAGAGGGGGATTTTTTTTCCTGCTGCTTTCTATTTTTATCACATTCTTCATTATAGCAGAACAGTCACAGGACATTTAGAAATGCTGTTACGTCTTTTTAAAAGCAAGGCTCAAGTGGCCGGGTTAAGCATGGATGATGTATGTAAATAGCATGCATCATGCAACATTATGTCAAATGTCAAAGATCACATATGTTGAGATGGAGGCCTTCGGGCTTCTTCATCGGTTGGCCGGAAAGTCTATGATGTGAAAATTGTGGTAAAGTAAAGGTGAAACGAACAAAGTGAGTCACAGACTACAGCCATGATCCCAACAATTCCATCACACCCTCCATCTAAAATATTTTCCACATTTTGTTGTTGCAACAGGCTGAGAAAAGCAGTGACAAAAACACAACACTGGGATTTGCACAATACTCAAAATTCCAATTTCAAGGAATGATTGTGGGAGTAATGAGGAGGAAGGTGGAGTACATTATGATGCAGTCTACCTTACTGTCATGACCAAAACCCACAAATGCTTTTGGGAAAACAGATGTCTTCACAGAGGTCAGGAAAAGGTCAGCAATGACTGGACTCTGTGGTCATACAGAAACACATGGAATAATGAATGAAAGTGTTCTATTGCTAAAAAGAATGCTCATCATGTCATGTACAGGAGTGTGTACTCATAGTCAGGGTTGCTAAAAAATTAGCTAAAGATAACGATCACACCCATCGACAAAGAAGACAGAATTTCTCCTTGGGGCTCAATAAAGTATTTCTATTCTATTCTATATATTAAAATATGTTAACATCTTCTTGGCACTGAGGCTCAGTTGAATATTAATAAGGCTCTATTCACAGAGAAAGCATGTCATGAAGCCATTTTCATTGTCAAAGTCCTTTTCTCAAGAACTCCAAACCCACCATTTACAGTGGGCTTTGTGCACATAATTAGCATTAGCCTGTGCATTTTGCTGTGCACCAACAAATGGTCGATTGAAAATGGCTTACAGCAACGAGGAGAGAAGCCTTTGAAAATGAAAATCTAAATGATGCCCATCTATCCTCCCACAGATCTAAGAATAGCTCCATATCATTCAGATGGAAATGCGGACAGAGGCACAAAATAGATGGTGGTGTGTTTGTCATTCATTTGTATCAATGGCAAGCAACTGAACAAATGTGATGCATTTGGATTTCAGCGGTTTTTGCCCCTGGAACGCTCAAATGAATGCAGGCTGATTAGACGTTGGCCTCTTGCACTAACATCTGAAACTTTCAAACTTTAGTATTTCAGACGGTCTAGTCTAACAGTGGCGTTCAGCTGGTCTAGCGTTGGGCTCGTTTTTCCCTCCAGATACCAGGTCATGGCCCACATACACAGAAACCTAACACTCATTTGGTTCATTTCCACTCAGCCTGTTGCTGGGTTCAAATCCAGGATAAGCCTTTATTGAATTCCCTTCTGGATGTGCACATGGAACACCACAGACCCAAAGGACACACAGTTGTCTTTACACTACCTTTCTATTTGGTTGTATCTATGTATTCTAAACATGCACACTACTGCCGGGTATGCACTTTACTGCCTTGTAGTGTAGTTGTTGCACAGATTCTGAGCTTCCCTTGGTCCCGTCTGTGTACGTCCACACCATGTTTACCCTTGTGGACCCTTGCCCTTACCCTTAAAGTACAAATCTGGACTTACTGTGAGGACTGCTAACCACTTTGAATTCATGAACACACTTTAAATTCATTAAATTAAAACTAAAATACAAATTAGGCCTGAAACTCAACAACCCGTAAATGCAAGAGAATGCATTCTGTGTTTAAAAACCAACCAAAAATACAATTATTCAGGTTTATTTAAGCTGATAAGAAATAAAAATAAAGAAACGTAAAAAAACAACAACAAAAAAAACCATCTAACCAGACAGTGAGCAGCAGAAACACAGACAGTTTTCCGTTCTATTGACTATTTGCCACGGCCTCCATCATCAGAGTCTTGTCTTCCATTTGTCATGGCTCCTGGTCCGTGTACTCTGGTTCCAATAAATATGGCCGAGCATCAAACTGACAAGACTTGCAATCATCCTCAAAATGACTGATCAGACTCAAAAATGTCCAAAATGATTCATGTAACCATCAACTTTTTTGTGGATAGCTGCGGGGACTGAATGTTGTATTTATATACTAAGTATTGTGCGGTCCTTGTTTAGTGTCCACATCCACAACAGAGGTTTAGACTGCAAAGTCAGCATGACCAATAGATCTACAAAAGCCACATCAATAGGAAATATGATAGGTTGAAATGAACTGGAAATATCCTTTAAGTTAATAATCTGCTTCCTGTTTTTCAGGACTGTTTCGTGCGTTGTGGAGTAGGTAGCTTCTCAGTTCGCTGCATTTCCAAGTTATTGTTCCCCTGGTTTTCTCAGAAAGGGTGTGATCCATTAGTCAGAAACCTATGACAAGCTCTTTCATAAATTTACAGGCTGTACTGTGACATAGCTTTAAAAAAATGTTGAAAATCAACAAATGATAGATGCTATGTTCCCACAATGCAACTAGTAGCATCTATTATTAGACACCCCCCCACCTGAGAACCTTACAATCCCACACCCCCAGTATGTCTTCCTGTTAGACATTTGCGGTCTTCAGGCCCCAAGTGTAATAACCTTGATGATATCACCAAGGTTATTTTCTCAGAGTCGACACAGCTCCTTCAGAGTCACACGTGAAATAAACTGTTCACAGGCTGAGTGGTAGTGCTCCGCATGACTAGTAGACTGACCTTTATGTGCCATATCAGTGGAGATCCCCTAGTGGGCTGAGAGAACACTGACCAAAGTGATGCTGTAGGTGCTGAGTTCAAAAGTGACTGATGGAAACATGTATGCACATTTTGAAACTGTAAAATGCTGAGATACACATACATACAGTAGACATGTTTTAGTTTCTAATATACAGCCGACAATAGGTGGAACGTTAATGGAATGGTACTGTATCTTTAACAATGTGACCGTGTTATCAGACTGCCAGTATTAGCTTTAAAGTGATTTAAATGGAGCTTCCTGTGGGTGGGCTCAGAATCTAGACATAATGGTGTTTTACTTTCCAAGTGGCACCCTGAAGAGTCCCCGCTTCTGTCTCCACTTGTGACACTGCTCTCAACACTACCCACACATACTGGAGTCATCATGCAGACATGCTGCCTAACACAAACCCTCTGAGCAATGCAACCTACTGTATGACATATTTACAGTAGACTGTGTACATGCACACATGTAAACACACAGACACTCATGCTGTACAGTGACGGGGCTGCCTGTGACTTCATCAACCGGAGAGATTATCCTCTGTGACTCAGGTGGATGGTGACGAAGCTCAGTTTGTTTGTTTTTGTGTGGTTGCGTGTGTGTGTGTGTGTGTGTGAGTGAGATGGTGTGTATGGCAGCGCAGTGACAGCGTGAGAGCAGATAAAGGCTCAATTGGAAAGAGGGCAGCCATGATTCATTATCAAAGCCAAAGATAAGGCCAAGAAGAACCGTTTGGGGATTCAAATGTACTTTCAAAGCAGCAAACATTTCCATTTTGATTGCCTTCTTCATTTCCAAAAGCCTGGAGGGTCCTCAGAGGCCCACATGAGTCTGCCTGTTGACTGTTTGGACTAAATAACGTCCCATTCTTCCTCTGTGACTGGACGAGCCACCTCTGGCCCACGGCAATAGGAGTCAGTAACCTTTCTTCTATGAGGTGGCCATCTTGGCGTCAGTGGTGAAATTACTCAGAATCTTTTTTTCATTATTCATGTAGATAATACCAGATTAATCAAAGCTTCAGGCACAGCTATTACACACTCACTAGTACATGATAAGGAAGGGTGACACAGCAAAATGTGCCTATTCAGCCCGGTAACCTAGCCACTGTGATGGTGCTCATGAGCAGGTGAATGGACTGCACCTTTCTACCTTAACAGACAGACGTCATCGCAGTTTGCCTCTCAATTGCTGACTGTTTAAACAGAACATATATACTTTTGACAAGGCACAACCGAGCGCTGCTAGTGGGGTCATTTATGTCTTGTGAGACTGTAAAAAACAAGACAGGCAATCAATAAAAACGCTACTTTATGCAGTTTTTATTGCAACAACTGTAGAAAATGTGCTTTCAGAGCCAAAATTTGTTTCACATTTGACATCTAATAAAGCAGAAGACAATAAATGATGTTAATATTGTGTATATTATTCAAGAAACCCCAAAGTTGACAAGTCCTTGCTCTAAAGTTACTGATAATGAGCAAAGGTGAACTCGTAGCAGGGTAATAAATACAGATAAACCACATGAAAAAAACATGATGCTTTAGATGTAAAGACTTATACAAGCTTTTTGTTTCCAGCAGTGTCTTACTATGGGTC